CTTACATATGTGATGTTTATCTGTGCTTTACACAAATAAGACTGTTTTCACACACACATTCTTTCAAACACCAATTTTCAACTCTTCAGGGGCAGTATCTCCCATGCTGAGAACGCACGCATGCACAGCGAAATATATGATGGATGTGGCTTCTTTCAATTCTAGAAATCTCCACACCCGACCAAATTTAGTAGAGGAAAGTTCATAGAAAAGGCACAGAACCAAGTATGTGTTATGTATGTATTGTGCCATCTAGTATCTATACTGCAAATTCAGGCTTTCCAAAGCTTAAAATCTCATTTTTACCTTAAGGCTACTTTATTAAACTGTACATCCTTTTTATGATAATTCAAAGATATAAAAAACATAACACATACATTCATTCTTTCACCTTTAAGATTCCTACCTCCTTTCTCACTGTCGTAGTGTGAAGCATCAAACTGAGCATCATCATTAGGGAGCTGCACACTGGCTATCACAAGGTGGTTTTGTTCATCCGATGTGTGTGTCCCCAGGACGAGTCGATGAATACTGAAATCTTTCCCTTCTGGTCTGTAATAGCAATATATGAGCACTATGCAAATTAATAACACTAAGACTACAAAGTCAGTGATACATATGTATGAAAAAAGTATTATTATAACCATTTTGATGAGAAAGTCATTAAGAGCCATATTTTTCTTTTAATGTAACTTCCATAGAGCCAAGTATAAAGTGGACTACATAGCAATTAACTTTATAAGTAAAGTAAGTCTTCACTTAGTATCATTGCTAGATCTTCTGACCTTAAGCAAAACAACGTATAACAAAACCAATTTTGCCACAGGCTGATATAAACAAGAGTTAAGTCCCTATGGCATCTCATTAACTTTATAATAAAAAAATGTTATTCGAGGACCTGTTCTATTTATCTTGGCTAAAAATTTACAATTACTTTGAGGAAAAAGTTTAGTGGAGTAAAATGTGAATTAACTACTCATCCTTTAAAATGTGTTGGATGAAAAGAAAAAAAACTGTTGGGTACACTAATACTTTAGGTCACTTCATCAAGTTTACTTCATTAAAAAGGAAAGGAAATAACATTAGATAAATTAATTGTTCAAATACTAAGTGTCTAATCAATGGACACATTGCTTCAAATACTACGGAAGTACAACGATTAAGATGTGATTCCTGTCCTCAAAAAAACCAGGGGCAATTAGGCAGTCATGTACACAAAGGATCAAGATATAAGTCAATATACATCACATAAAAGGTATACACGAATATGGGCGTTTAAGTAAAGATTACTTCTAGAATGAAGAAAGTGTTCATGGAAAAGGTGACAGCCCAGCAGATATCTCAAAATGAGATAAAACATGGGAGAGACATGGGCTTTGGAAGATAGTCTGTATTCCAAAGAAAGGGATCTACGCAAAGGCAAAGATCTACAAAGTGCCAGACACGATGTTAAAACACTTCATATACTTTATAGCATTTAAACCAGTGGTCCCCAACCTTTTTGGCACCAAGGACCAGTGCTTCTATGAGAGTCTAATGCTTGATGATCTGAGGTGGAGCTGAGGCGGTGATGCTAGCGCTGGGGAACGGCTGCAAATACAGATGAAGCTTAGCTTGCTGGCCTGCTGCTCGTCTCCTGTGTGGCCTAGGGTAGGGGGTGGTTGGGGACCCCTGATTTAAACACTATAAGGTATTATTCCAATTAAAGATGAAGACACTTGAGGTTAGGAAAATAAAGCAACTTGCCTACATCACACTAAGTAACAACTAGAGACTGAAGTCCAAATCTGACTTTGGATATAGGAAAAGACAGTGGGAGAAAAGTCTAGAAGCAGATTAAAATCAAGACTCTAGGAGAAAGTGGAGTGGGACTTTCATCCAAAGAATATACTCATTTTGAAATATGTCATAGCTGGGAAACCAAGAAGATACTCCAGAGAGACACCAGTAGGCAGCTGAAAATTCAGGAAGAAGCCCAGAATCTAGGTCTAAGAGATAACCAATAGAAATTTCTCTACACAGGGGTGATAAGTGCCTATATCTTAAATAGAAAAAATAAAGAAAAGAGGAATGTCAACATAAAATTGGGAATTCTTGCATTTAGAAAGTTAAGGAATCAACGGAAGGGAGAAAAAGAAGAGTATTATAAAACTATAATTGTATTCAAGGCTTACGAAACTCAGTTAATCACATTACATAGAAGGCTTTTTAAACTTATGGGTAGCAGAATAATTTAGTAGGTATGGGATGGCCAATATTTGGGACCCACTGGTCCAATATAATTTAGCACATGACTGGTAAATCTGGAATCACCAGTTATTTCTCATCAAGTACTCTGCCTCAAGTTCCTAAATGGTTTGAACTACCACTGAGAACTCCCGACAGAAATGACTCCACTAATCCTGAACTCAAGTAATTCTGATGGTCAGCTGAACTCCTGGTTATGATAAAGAAGATTCCAACTCTAAATGTCTAGGTATTTATTATGGCTTTATTTACCATCATTAGGACAGATTTCTCCATTTTTTTTTTAATGCGACTGTGAAAGTAGCAGTCTCATTCTTGTCATTAATAAAATTTACAATAAATTTCTATTACTTTTTGAGCGGAAGCATAGCCTAGTAATTGAGTTTTGCACACAACTTCTAAAGACCTGAGTTTTGAAGGAATTTATTTAGTACACATAAAATATAATTTTCAAATGTTATTCTGACTAGCAACAGTTTTATAATAAATCCATTACTCTAACAAGCACGGTGGTTTTACTAAAATTTTATATTAATATCTAAATTCACTTTCAATTTTGCATTATCACTTCCTTATAGAAGCCTTTCCTGATACCCCAAGTTGAGGTAATTTTTCCTTCCTCTGATTATTTTATCTTTGCCATGCTTATGATAATTTTTTACTGTTATGAGGCAGGGAAGGTGTATTATCTAAATTTGGATGCCCTGATATGTAGCACCTAGTATATCCTCAATAAATGTAAGCTAAATTATTTTATCTTCTCTATTAGAAGTAAGCTAACCATGCCAAAAAATGTGATTATTCTTTCACATGCAAATTCCTTCATATGAAAATATTTCCACCCACAAGTGTTCTAAGCATTCTAAGTATCTAAAACTGCTCTGACCACATGCAACTGTAATTATTAGTTTACACCTGCTTCAACTAGACTGCTTCTTGAAGGCAGGCAGGCATCATGTCATACTCATCTTTCTATTAACCAGCCACAACCAATTACTGTGAGACTTAAAGAACTAGACTCATCATAATACTTTTTGAAAGTTGACCATTATTATTTGGTCCACTAGTTACAATGTGGCCCATCAATTCAGTATCAGAAAAAGAAAACAGCATGTTCTCTCTTATCAGGAAAATTACAAAGTAATTTTACATACTGCCTACTTTTTGGCCTAGAAAAAAATGTTACCAATAGGGTTTGATCACGTGCCCCCTACGGGTGACTGGAGAGAGGAAAATAAGGAAAATCACTGTGAGAAATCTACACTGGGACAAAACAAAATAACGTTCAAGAAATTCGTATCACCTGGTCACATCTGGAAGCCACTGTGCAGTTAGGCTGGGCCACTCCAGAGCATGGGTCATCACCAAATCGTAAAGAAAAGGGGTGTTCTTTTTCCATATTTTGTACTCTTCGTTGATCACACGTTCTTCTACTGCGTCATCAAAGGCTGCTAAAAAATTAAAAACAAATTAAGTTAGTGAACACAATGGAAACCGAATCAACGCTTGCAAAGCTAACGGCACGCTATGGAGCAGATATGTCTAAATCTCCCCTAGGCGGAGGCACCAACAACCCTTCCACCTTCGCGGGTCAGAACTACTCTTCAGGTTATCCTGGCCAGACACTCCATTAGCTTTTCGGGCGAAGGCGCCGGGCCTCAGGAGCACGGTCCCGTACGTGATAAGTCTACGGAACCGGTGAAGAGACTGAGCACCAACCCTTGGGGGTAGGGAGAGGTACAAGGAGGCCCTGGGGTGAGGCGAGTAAACCGACAGTGAGAGCGGGGAGGGACCAAACACCCTACGGGGCCCCCACCGCCAGCTTCACGTCGCTGCGCAGGGTCTCCGCTCCAGAGAAGCTGGCGCACCGTTAGCCCGCCCCGCGGAACGATTTCGCCTCCTGCCTTTGATGGTGGGGACGGCACTATTCAGCAGGGTCGGGCCTGCCTTCACTGTTAGGCCGTGTCGAGGCCGCAGCACAAGCCCGACACCGACAGCCTTCTTGGGACAGCCCCGGGACCCTCACCTTCCTTGTCGGCCATGGCGGGCAGGCAAGCCAGAGGGATCCCGGGATCGAGTGTTGCGGGAGGGGCGGAGAGGCTGCTGGCGCTCGCTCTGCGCGCGCGGCCTCTATTGTTTCCTGCTGCCCCTGCGTGAGGTCCAACTAGCGCACCTTCGCGCCAACACTGGCCAATCGGAGCACACCAAAAGGCGAGGTGGGCGGGGAATTTGCGATCTCAGCCTATCCAGACGCGCGGAGTCGCTCTTCGCGGGGCCGAGGCTCGCGCTCCGCGCCTGCCCCCACACGGCCGGAGCCGACTTCCTTTGATTGCGCGCGCGCGGGGTTGGTGAGAGTGCGCCCCGCTTGGGTCACGTGAGAGGTTTAGTCTGCACTCTCCTGGGGGCAGCCATCTTCTTAAAGTCTGTTAAGCTAACAACCACTTAAAAGTACTCAAATGAGAAACCTAAGATGTTTTCGGGTCTAACTGAGGTTACAAGGCAATGCCTTTACCACTCAGACCTAGAGGTGTCTAATTCAAGTGTCCCTTACTCCCAGGTCCTCCGGTTTGTTTTCCTAATCCTTAGAACTATTGATGAAGCAAGCCCAGAAAAATGGGGCCTCGTTTTTTTAAAGATGTGCTCCAAGCGGCGTGGCCTAAAATGGAAATCTTAAGGGATAAAGTACGTTCGCGAGAATGGAGTCCTGGCCCTTTAAAGATGTGTGCCAAGGGGCGGGGTCTAGAGCGGAAGTTGTGAAACAGGACTGAAGTCCAGCGGATGAAGGGCGGAAGAAGAGTATCCAATGCTGCAATCATGGCGCAAGAAAAGGAAGATGTTAGAGATTACAATTTGACTGAGGAGCAGAAGGCGATCAAGGCCAAGTATCCTCCAGTCAATCGGAAGTACGAGTGTGAGTAGTTTGCTCACTTCTCTCATCTCTCCTTGCCCAGGGCTTCCGGCCTCGTTTTCACTTTTCCCCATAAGTTGCTGCAGGCAAGATCCCATTTCTCCCAGTATTGTAGTTTCATTTGTGCTTGTCGGAGAATGCTGCAGGAAAAAGCCACCTGGTCTGAGATTCGATAAACCTGGGCTCCCAGATTTAAAGTCCCTTAAACTTTTTTCACGTATGCCTAATCACATTTATCTTGTGGAATTTTCCTAGTGTATTCTAAACATAACCGTATTTTCAAGCGTTTGCGTGGTGATCGCCCCATGTAGCTCTAACAATGGCATAGTTGAGAGTGTGGCTAGTTTAGAAGACTCGGAAAGCTCAGTAGGGGACTTCTAATTTCGTATTTTACCTGGATCTTGTTAGTAAAAAAGACCTGGTTTTGCCATTTATTAGCTTAGTGTCTAGGCTAATTTTATAACATCTCTTTCCATCTCAGTTCCTTCATCTGAGAAAGGAACGAGATAATAAATATGAAAGTATAGTGCATACTCTTAAGGTCTATGTAAACGTTAAGCTAAGCTTTCGTCCTTAAAGTTGGCTGCGGTTTGGGTAGCACAAATCTGACTTATTTCTCTACGTAAAATCTTTATTAATTTCTCATTGACCTCTGTGTAGAGTCCACCTGTTTACTATAGCATGATAGGCTCTGTAGTTTTTGAATCCTGCATATCCCCCTAGCTCATTTTTCTCTCACTTAAAACCAATTTTTTTAGTATATGTACTGCCGAAGCGAGCACTAAAAAGAATTTTTAAAAATTATTTTCAATAGGTCATATATATGATTCAAAATTCAAAAAGTACAATAGGTATGCAGGGAAAAGTAAGTTTTTCTTTTAGCCATGATCCCAAGCCACCAAGTCTTCCTCGCAAGATCAATCATCTTTTTCATTTTCTTATGTGTACATGCAAAAATGTCCTAGCATTTATTTTATATAACCAATTTGCAGTTGATGGACATTTATGGTATCTTAGATATAATGCAGCAGTGGATATACTGGTATATCCATTGTTTTGTAGCAATCCCCAGGAACCAGGGACCAATGCACCTATGAGATTGTAATGCCTGATGATCTCAGGTGGAGCTAAGGTGGAGCTGAGGCAGTGATGCTAGCTTTGGGGAACAGCTGCAAATACAGGTGAAGCTTTGCTTGCTGGCCCACCACTCACTTCCTGCTGTGTGGCCTGGTTCCTGGTTCCTAACAGGTCAGGTACTGGCCTGCAGCCCTGGGGCTTGGGGACCCCTAGTTTTGCACGTGTGTAAGTGTATTTGTAAAATAAATTTCTAAAAGTAACATTGCTTTGTCAAAGGATATGTGCATTTTTAAATAAGATTTTCATGAAAATGTAGCTAACATCCAGCATTGTATTAGTTTCAGGTGTAGAAGTATGTGCATTTTTAACATGGAAGTTATTGTCAAATTGCTCTCCATTGAGGTTGTGCCAGTTTATACACTCACTAGCATTGTATGAGTGTGCCGCCTTACACTTGTACCAATCAACTGTTTTACCATACTTCTTGGTCTTTTCCAATTTGTTAAGTGTCTTGTCATGCTAATTGCAATTTTTTTTATTATAAGTGAGGTTGAATATATTTTAGTATGTTTGCAGCTATTTGTATTTCCCTTTCTGGGATGTATTTCATATTCTTAACCCATTTTTCTATTGGGTTGTTAGTCTTTTTTACTCTGCAGAATTTACTTTTATGTAGTACAATTTATTAACCCTTTTTATGACTTCTGGATGTCATACATAGGAAGGCCTTACTCTGAGACTGTAAAATAATTCTCTCTTATACTTATTGAAGTTTAATATGCATAGAAAATTTTACATGAGTGAATTTTCACAAACCGAATACACCTGTGAACTAGTAACAAGTTGGATATTACAGCATCCCCGAACCCCCTGTCATGCTCCTTTCCAGTCACCACCACTCTATCTGCTTCTCCATTAGCCTGACTTCTAACATCATAAATTAGCTTTGCCAATTTTTGTACATTATATAGATGGAATCATTATGCATTCCTTTTGCGTTTGGCTCTTTTGGCTCATAGTTGTGAGGACTATATTTTTGCTGATAGTTATAGATTGTTCTTGTTTCAGGTATTTATGGGTTTGTTTTTAGCATTTAAAACTTGAATACATCAGAATTAGGTAAGGTGGAAATTAAGTATCCAATTTCATTATTTTCCAGATGACCTACCAGATGTTTTCACATCGCTTATTCGACAGTCTGTGTTTCATGCTGTGATTGAAACGTGACAACTTTATCATATACAAAATTCCCCTACCTATATTTAGGTCTGTTGGACTTACTAGTCTATTCCTTTGTTCTTTCTGTCTTTAATGTGCCAGTGCCACAGTTTTAATTATTGGAGCTTTATTTTGTCTCAATATTTTGTAGGACAATCTCCCCCTCAATATTTGCCCCTTTTCTGCCATTCTTGCTTTTTTAAACATTTTATTTAAAAAGTTCCAAATGTATACAAAACTAAGGCAATAATATGATAATTTTCAT